CATCATGGCACTTTGCCACTAGTTTTAACTGCATATTTGCTTATTTACATGCTTACTGTTTAGCTCTCCCACAAGACTGTAGTCGACCACAACCATGTTCTCCCCCGGTCACTGAATACGAAAGCCCTAGTACAGTGCTTACCACATAAGCGTTCAATAAATATTCATTCAACAAATGAATGAGCAAGGAATATTCCACTAATTCCAAATAGTTTGGCATAGCAGCCGCTTAGGGTGCCCATTAAGAACAGGCAGGCACGCCTAAAGCATAAGCAACAAAAGCAAAAATAAACAGGTGGGACTGCATCAAACTAAAAAGCTTCTGCACAGCAAAAGAAATCATCAGCCAACTGAAAAGACCATCTACAAAGTGGGAAAAAGATATGCAAACTATGTATCTGATAAAGGGTTAATATCCAAACTGTATAAAGCACTCACACACCTCAACAGCAAAAGAATCCAAATAATCCAATTAAAAAAATGGACAAAGGACCTGAACATTTTTCCAAAGAAGATATACAAATGACCAACAGGCACATGAAAAGATACTCCTCACCAGTCACTAAGGAAATGCAAATTAAAACCACTGCGATATCACCTCATGCTTGTTAGAATGGCCATGACCAAAAAGAGGATGGACGTGGAGAAAGGGAACCCTGGTGCACTCTTGGTGGGAATGTAAATTGGTGCAGCCACTATGGAAAACATTATGGAGGCTCCTCAAAAAATTAAGAATAGAACTACTTGTCATCTAGCAATTTCACTGCTGGGGGGATATATCCAAAAATAAACACTAACTCAAAAAGGCATCTGCACTCCCATATTCATAGCAGCATTATTTACAATAACTAAAACATGGAAACAACCTAAGTGTTCATCAATGGGAGAATGGAGAAGAATGATGTGATATGTGTGGAATATTATTCATTCATAAAAAAAACAAAACAAAAAAACAGTAACAGGAAATTCTACCGTTCGTGGCATGGATGGACCTTGAAGGCATTTTGCTAAGTGAAAGAAGTAGAGAAAACCCAAATACTGCATAATGTCACTTAGTATGTGGAGTCCACTTATATGTGTAAACCAAACAGCAAACTCAGAGAAAAAGAGATCCAACTTGTGGCTACTAGAGGTGGATGGTGTGGGGAGGGAGAAGTGAGAAAAGGTACAAACTTCCAGTCACATGTATTAGGGATGTAATGTGCAACATGATGACTAGACCTAACACTGTTGTGTGATACGTATGAAAGTTGTTGAGAGAGTAGATCCTGAGTTTTCAGCACAAGGAAAATTTATTTTGTTTATTGTATCTATATGAGAAGGTGGATATTAACTAAACCTACTTAGGGATCATTTCACAATATATGCAAATCAAACCATCATGCGGTACACCTTACACTTACAGAGTGATGCGTGTCAATTATTTTTCAGTAAAACTGGGGAAAAACAAAAAACAACAAAAAAAGGAGGATAGTCAGGAAACAGCCAAAAGATGAAGTGGTGTACGCAGCATGCTGGGGCTTTGGGATTTAAAATGAAGGCAAATTTTTCTAAGGTGCCATTAGATCATCTTAAGAAGGGGGACACTCAGATCTTTAAGTCACTTGGGGAGGCTGTGCAGACTGGATTGGCACAAACAGGCATGCCACAGGAGGCACGAGAGTCTACTGCTGTGTTCCCCATCTGTAATGAAAGTTTAAAGAAAAATTAACAGAACTTTGTGACCAACTGGATGTAGAGCCTAAGTAGAGGAACTTACAATGAATCTCCAGTTTCTGGTGGGTGGCACCAAATGAACTAGAAAATACAGGAGGAAGGTAGCATTCAGTATTGGAGTTTAAGAAATTTATGCCATTACCATTTATGGAATTGGGTACATAGCTTATAACTCAGAGCTGACATTGGAGCAGGAGTGGAAGAAGTTGCATATAATCAGCACAGAAGAATCAGATAAAGACTTGGGCAAAGATGAGATCATTCAAGGTTAAGTGTGTTAAAATTAAAATCCAAGGCCCAAAGATGGAGTCCTAGAATCAGAAGAGAAACAGAATGAAAAGACAACCTACTAAATGAGAGAAAATATTTGCAAACCATGTACCTGATAAAGGTTAGTCTCCAAAATATATAAGGAATTTCTACAATATCAGAAAAAACTAACAAACCAGTTGAAAGGCAAAGAATAGACATTTCTCCACAGAAGACATATGCATGACCCACAGGTGTAAGAAAAAATGCTCAACTCCACTAATCATCAGGGAAATGCAAACATACACACACACACACACACACACACACACACACACACACACACACGATATCACCTTATACCTGTCAGAATGGTATTATCAAAAACAAGACAAAATGTGTTGAAAATGTGGAGAAATTAGAACCCCTGTGCTCTGACAGTGAGAATGCAAAATGGTGCAGCTGCTATGGAGAATGGAGGTTCCTTCAAAAATTAAAAATCCAACTACCATGTGATCCAGCAATCCCACTCCTGGGTATCTATCCAAAAGAACTGAAATCAAGGTTTTGAGGAAATATTAGCCCTCCTATGTTCACTGCAGCACTCACTATTCATGACAGTCAAGATGTGGAAACAACCCAATAGTCCATCAACAGATGAATGGATAAAGAAAATGTGGCATATACAGTTGACTCTTGAACAACACAGGTTTGAACTGTGTGGCTCCACATATTAGTGGATATTCTTCAAAATATATTACAAGTATTTTTTGGAGATTTGCAACAATTTGAAAAAACTCACAAATGAACTGTGTTGCCGAGATACATCAAATGTTAATGTTTCTAATACTGTATTATGAATATGACTCTAATGCAATATGCCATAAAAATTTTATAACATTTCATTCATTTCTGTAATGTTAGGCTATCTTGCAACAATCATATTGATTACACCAAGCCACTGTGAAATAACCGTACTGATCACATTAGGTTACCATAACGCAATCATATTGCTGCTTGTTATCAACGCATGAAATCATTATTCCTATAAAGAAACATTAATTTCTTTTCCACATTATCTTTTCATTTTTGATCTAGTGTTAGTAATATGTATCACATCTACAGTTTTTTGAATCATGTAAGACAATACTGATACAGGTTCTGACAGACAATTTCATCTTACACACACAGAACATAAACTTATGGTAACAATATAGTATAGTACTTGAAATGTATTTTCCTTATGATTCTAACATTTTCTTTTCTCTAGCTTACTTTATTGTATGAGTAGTACATAACACAAGTGCGAGATATGTGTTAACTGTTTATGTTATTGGTAAACCTTCCAGTCAACAGTAGGCTTTTAGTAATTAGGTTCTGGGGGAGTCAAAAGTTATAAACAGATTTTCCTGTGGGGGTTAGCACTCCTAATCCATGTTGTTCAAGGGTGAACTGTATATATACAATGGAATATTATTCAGCCTTATAAAGGGAAATTCTGCACTATGCAAAAACATGGATAAACCTTGAGAGCATTATGCTAAGTAAAACAAGCTAGTCACAGAAAACCAAATACTGCATGATTCCACTACATAAAGTACCTAAAATAGTCTAATTCATAGTATCAAAGAGTGGAATGGTGATTGCCAGTGGTGGGGGTTGGGGACCAGGAGGAAGTGGGAATTATATTCAACAAGCATAAAACTTCAGTTAAGCAAAATGAAAAAGCTCTAGAGATCTATCAAACATTGTAACTACAGTCAACATAATTTACACTTAGAAATTTGTTAAGAGGGTAGATCTCATGTTAAGTGTTCTTACCACAATAAAACAAGAGTCAGGCAGAAAGACAGGTAAAGAAAGCAGAGAGGTCTCGTTGAGTCTAAGGAGAAAGTTTCAAAGAAGGAGTTCTTAATGTTGCTGTCAAGAAGTCATATAAGGTAACAATTGAAGAGTTAACTATATTTGGCTACCATACGAGCTAAGATGACTTTTCTGGGGCATTTCTGTAGTGATACAAGACAAAGTCAGACACTCTTGGGGTAAAGAGTATACGGGTAATGAGGAAATAGAAGTAGTTAGTTGAGTGTGGATGACCTTCAAGAACTTTGTTGACACAAAAGATGGATTATCCTGGGTGGCTCAGCCAGCTAAGCATCTGACTCCTCGATGTCAGTGCAGAGCCTGCTTGGGATTCTCTCTCTCCCTCTCATCCCCTCCCCAGCTCGCACACAGGCATGCGTGCTCTCTCTCAAAATAAGTATTTTTTTAAAAAGGAGGATTATCCTCCTGCACTACTTTATGGTATAATGAATTTTTCATGCATTCTTTATGAAAGATTTACTAGGGATCAAGAATTTGCTTACTCCCAAAATAAACCAGAAACACTGGAAAGCAAGGCAAAATGAACATAAGGAGAGTCATTACATTTTTAAAAGATGAAACAGATGTATTCAATAAACAGTATTATAAAAATTTCACAGTTGGCAAAACAAAACCAATTATGAGTTTGTTACACTGTTAAGGTGATACTCACATGACACACAGGCTTGTGTGTGTCTAGACAAGAAGAAGATCACCAGTAACCTGACAACTGACTGCATACACAGCCCAAACATATCGCTTGGTTGGGAAATTCGATGGTAAAGAAGCCAAAAGCTTCTCACTCAAGAGGGAACCCTTGGTCTTTTTATAACAGGAAGTGTTTGAGGAACACACAACATCCAACACAAGAGTAACACTATGATTTTAAAAACTGCGTTGAGTTGCTACACTTACTTAAAAATAATTTAATACCATAATCCATATTAATATTTTTTCCAAGTAACAAAAGGAGTATTATAACTTTTCTTCTGTGCTTTCATCTAACCTATTCTGACAGGAAGACTACTTGAGAGGTAACTAAAGAAAATTTTTAAAAGTAAGTGACCAACATTTTGAACCGATTTCAATTTAAACGTCGATTATGAGTTATAAAAAAGTGAGAGTAAACTCTTAAGGAAACATTCATTAGCTAAAGCAGTGCTGTCCTAAGATAAGGCACACAAACCAACATAGTCTATTTAATAAAAATATTTAATGCTGCCAAAAAGTATAAAAATACAGTAGGAATGGCAGTACAATACAAAGTAGTCTCTCCTAATTTATTTCTTTTACATCTTTCTACATTTGATACACACATTAAAAAAACTTAACAATACATCAAATTAGAGGGTTCTGCAAAGTCTTCTGCTGGTGGTGCTCTTCTTTCCCTGGATGTAAAGTTTACTCTGTAAACAGACAAATGTGAGGCAATCTACAGGTTTATCAAGCCTCACTTTAGTTTCCGGAGTGGGCTTCAGGTCTTGCTTTGCACATCAATGGTTCAAAATTTATAGCTGCAGAATATTCTCAAGTCATGAATATTTAGGTGTCTGTCAATCTTGGCCTAAAACATAAAATAAGAAGTCATCTATTCAATTCAGATTTACCAAACACACAGACATACATAGACACACACAAACAAAAGGACTAACAACGAACTAAAAAAGCAACTAAAAAACATTCCAACGTATCACATTCAACCACACTAAGTGCTTCACTGTTATCTTGGTAAATCTGCTTATGTGCTCGATTTTCAAACAGAATTGGTGGTGTGAGGGAGACTCATGTTAAAGCACCGTAACTCATACGGCTTTATCAAGAATTACTAACTATGAATTTCTCAGGTCATCCTGCATTACTCAAGAAACGACCTCCATGTGAAATACTGACAGACAGACGGGTTTAAAAAAAATGTACCCACAACAGTTTAGCAAGATTATATGGTATGTGCTAGACTTACCAATACTTTGGAATTCAATGCAAAAGTCTAATCCAATTTGGACCTCCACTGTATCATACTGCTAAAAATATTATGAACGTAAGGTCTGAACATAAAGTTGGCTTATATCTTTAAGTCACGGACTGTTAGCAGCATGCTTTTTTGTCCTGAAGGATAACACTAATGATTATAGCAATACAGAACCGAAGTGACATCATTTAGGTTACTACCAATATAAAAGAAAACACAGACATAAAATAATTGACATATTGTATTTTAATGTCAAAAAGTAAAGATTAATGAGAGTTTAAACAAGCAACAGACAGATGATATAACTATTTTAAGGGCAGTTTTTGATGGTATTTCACAATATTTGCAAGTAACTGAACTCTGGAGGTAAATGTTATTTCCATTCTTCCCCTGACTTCCTTCGCTATGACACACACAAAAAACCCCCAAATCTAAATAAATACTTATTATTGTCTCCATATGTATAAATAGGAATATAAACCATACCCACACATTCTCCCATAACGTTTAGTCAAAAACTTTCAAATACTACAAACTGGGCTTTTTCCTAATGACCGGCTCTTCCTACTGAAGAATAACAATACCAAGTACCTGGTCTTCTGAATACCCCATTTCTCTTGATTGTCCAGCACAGAGAAATGTCAAGTCACCAAGAAACATTCTCATTAGTTGTCTGTGAGTCACAAAACCTACTACGGATGCTTACTGCTGGGTTCTGCTGAGCCCTCAACCAAAGCAGACATAGTAAGGAAAAGTGCTTCTTACTGACTCTGATTGCTGTAAAAAACATTTATTTCCCATGCATTGAGAAAATCTGCCCATCAAAGCAATTTAATCCACTCAATCAAAGTGAATCAAATAATGGTTTGCTTTAGAGAATATTCTGGTGCTGTTCAGTGGCAGTTCAACCTGTTTTCACAAAAATTTTTGGAGGAAAAAACTTTGATTTGTTTCACTTAAAAAACAAGAAGAGGGTTACTTTGGTTTTTAACAAGTGGTTGTCTAATTTTTTCCACTTAAGTATTTGAATATTCCATAAAAAACAAAGTCATAATAGAAGCAGAGTGAGGTATGGAGCTACTGGAATTCCACAGACAGGAGTCTGAATTTCAGCTGTCATGTACTAGCTGTGCAACTATGGGCAAGGTACTTATTCTCCTCTGACTTACTTTTGTTATCTTAAAATAGGGTAATGTATGTAGAAGAGGTGTTAGGCAGGTTAAATTTAGATTATGCAGTTAAGCTGACTGGCAGAACTGCAGGTGTCCAATAACACATTGCCGTCTCCCCCAGCAGTGTTAACGATTCACTTACCAATGGCAAACTATTACTTGTAACGACTAAAAGAATTTGACAGCATTTTTAAAAATTCATTTTTTTCTTTGTAAATATTATTCTGGGGGATAGGAAAAGTCAGATGGAATCACTGGCAGTGTTAACTATTTTAAAAGAATGTATTTGTTTGCAGGACTGAGAAGACAGGCTTTATTTTAGGAAAAAACATGTTCACTTGAATCACTTTTTTGCTGATTTAACAAGTCAAAGGTAAAATGGGTTCAAACAAATCAAGTGGAATTAGCCGTGCGTACTGCAAGCTTTCTGTGGAGAAAGCGCCTGTGCACACTGCCCACTGTCATTCTGGAACAGGGCCAGATTTACAGACTGAGCATGATCTTCCCAAGCTGGCTCCATACCTGAAGTAATAGAAAGTCAAGCTGCATCCGAAGTATTTTTTGCCACCAGATATTCACACTATTTTTTACTGAAAAGAATCACAAAACCTTTTGTAAAGGTGAGCAAAGAAAGCATTGCCTTGTAGAGAAAACAAACATATCTAGTCTCCCTTTCCTGAATTCACCAAACTCAAAATAACTTCGGTTTTTTTATAGTAGTAATCTGAAATACCGACACCATCACATCTACAAAAATCTATGTCAAATTAGAGCAACAATAAAGAATTGATGCTTTTCTTTAAAAAATGGTCTCTATAAAGAAAAAAACCTTCCATGCAATTCTTATATACTATAAATACTATGTATATAATATATACTATATATAATACGCTATGTATATAATAGGTACTATATATATGTATATATATGTATATATACACACATATATATACATATACACACACATATATTAATACTACCTAATGAAAAACCACAGTACTAAAGTAGACTCTGTAATATCGCCACTATATCCTGTAATTCCTATATTCCGCTCTACATTATGAAACCAAAATAGAAGGAGTTCAAAAGATTGAACTTTGCAGTCTCCCAGTGGACTACCCAGAGATGGTCAGAGCTCTTTAAAATTTTTCACTGTCAGGTTGTTACTGATAAAGACGAAGCCTTTCATACCAAGTAAAAGCTTCTCATCTGAGTCACTGCTTCCACTTGGCAATGCCCTGTGATGGAATAAATGACAGTGAGGAAAACGCTTTCCCCAAAGAAGTTTCCAAAATTTAATGGCTATTTCTCTGAAGAATGTTGAGGAAAAGCACTTATGCAGAATTGCTGTTGCTGGAGCAATCTGAATGTGGTAAATATTGAGAAAATGCTTGCTGATGAGGGAAAAATGAGATGGCTAAACTCATAACCATTTTCCTAGAAGTTTGTTCTTTAGAACACTACCCATGGAAGTGAGTGGCTTAAAATTCCCAAATTAAAAGCTTAAATTCTCAGGTCTGGAGGGACAATGAAATGGCCATCTCATGGCGAGGACATGGAAGTAGCTGAAAGCATGCAGTATCTGGACTGGGGAGGCCCAGGCAGAGCAGGCACTGTGCAGCTCACACAACCCGAGTCTCTTCCCACCGAAGCAAGTCAGCACTTATGCATCACAGACCTGATGGAACAAGAGAGAGCTGAAGTTCTAACATATTCACTCTTGTAGGAGCTATGGATGACGTCATCCTGAAATAGTGCTTTGAAGATAAGTATTAAAAAAATGGAATCAAATCTAAACAAATGAACTAGGGAAAGAGATGAAAGAAACAGGTCAACTCCAGGATAAATCATTCAAGGAATGACCAAGACCCACATATTAAGTCAGTAGAACTTAGTTTGGTTATGTGGAAGAATATTACCTTCAAAATATTATTTGTAAGATTTTGTGCCCCTATCCTCTAAATAGTCAAAGTCAAATGAAAGGTTTCTTAAGAGAGACTTTATTATTAGCTATTGATGTAGAAAGGAGAACACAGAACAGACACTTCTGCACTTAGTTTCAGACCAGATCACTGCACCAAGGTCTGACCTCAGCTCCCCCCCACCATTGGGGTGCAACAGATTTCGGACATCTAAGCCCTTAATCCTTATTCCCCACTCCCCTGCCAAACCCACATGGACTGCTGGACAAAAAAAAAAAAAAACCAAATAGATGTTTACAGAAGGTGTGATTCCTCAACTCCTGCCTGAACATAGGAAGAAGTGGATGACATACATAATGGCATTAGGCTTATAAGAGACTATATTAAGAAAAACCTCTGTTAGGTTTTGTGTCTGAAAGTAAAAACCAAGGCAGACCAAATTTTAAAATCTGTACAATAACCAGGCAGGCACCCTGGGGATGTAGGTACTTGCTGAAATAGAATATACAAAGGTTAATGACAGTATTTCTAATATAATCAGGTTCTGGCCTGTGTCTATTTACATAGAATCTAGTCAGATATTTTTCTAAGAGGGAAAGGACTTGTAGGAGGTAAGTCTTTCTTTGAGAATGATCGATTCTAATCTACAGAGCCTTTGCAATGACTGCAGCATAAAAGAACCTAGCAATGTTAAATCTCAGGTTGATTATGGCTTAATAACAACACCTACTTCAAAAGCGTATTGTAAGGATTTAATAGGATAATCTATAAAAGTGCATATTAGCACAGTGCCTGGTACATAGTAAATGATCAATAAATGGTAGCAGTTTATTGGTACCAATCAATAAATGGTACCAATACTTTGAACTGACACTGAAAACAAAGGACTTGATATAAAAAGTGGAGGCTGCTCCATTCCATAAACTACTTTTTAAACCAATATGTATTTTTTGATTCATACCATCAATTCTTGTGTATTTGAAATGAAAGGGACAAAAGCACAAATGTACATAAAATTAACTTAAGAGTTATAATTACTTCTCGTAACATACCTGTTAAGCAGAGATATTAAAAAAACAACAACAACAACAACAAAAAAATCAATGCTTTACTTCCTCTTTTTTGTTCATTCCTTTTGGTAGAAATATATCAATGCAGAGTCAGCATTAATTTGAAGACAGAAGAGGAAAAGGACAGAGCACATATATAAAATATATCCTAAACATGAAGAATGGTCTTTATATTGATCTAAAGTTCTCTATACACTTTCACATGTTACTTTTTTTTTAATCCTCTAAGGATTCAGGAAAAGGTATTATTTTTATTTTATATACAGATAAACTAAAAATGGAGAACTGTTTTTACATGTTATATATAAGCAAGCATAGATAAAAATTGCTAATAGGCCAGCATAAAATATTTAGCTACACTTGGAAACAAATACGTGACCAGTTGGTATAGCCAGAGAAGACAGCATTAAATCAAAGACAGCTGTCAGTTTATCAGCAGGGACAGATATGAACACAAATGCACTATATATTAATGTAGATATCCTTTCTTAAAAATGATAAAGCCTCTGGCTTTTTAAAAAACCTTTTTTTCGTCCTTAACCTATTCCAAAAATAATACTACCTCATTAAAGTCAAACTACACAACTGACTTTTAAAATCTGTTATAATTAGAAAATATTAGGACACACAAATTTTGTAAAATGTAAAACCTACCGCGGATTGCTAACTTTGTCGTCTGGCTGTTACCCGAGAAGGCAGGAGCCCGGTCTGTGTCCTTCCCTCTGACTAGCACACCGCTTTCAATAAAGGGGCCAGGATGATGACCCTGGGCACCACAGCACATGTATTTTTAATAATTAGTACATGGAACCCACCAAAAATATTATTACTGGTAAAAACTTAACACACTATCCTTCAGGATCTGCTTGAGAGGAAAGATGACTAACCCCTGCAGAAGTTTATCAACAAATGTTTACTACACTGAACATGATTGTTAAGATATATGACAAAAAACACCACTCAGAAGGAAAGAAAGCAGACAAAAAGCAAAGCTAAAATCCAGAATCCAGGGAAACACATTTACCCTGCAAAGGGGCATCATTATCAGCATTTGTTTTTTGTAAGAAGTTTTTACCTTTTTGTTTAAGGCAAGGCTACTTTCGATTGGACACTCAGTATGATCTACCCGTATCTTACTTGCAGAGTAATATACTGCATTTTAGCAAATATAAACCAAGGCAAATTAGAAAGGTTTTAAACCAATAATGACGGGTCCCGGTACCTGAACACAGGTTTAATGCAGACAGACATAAAAAAAAAAAAGTCCCTCTTACCTCCTCTCCATTTAAAGGTTACAGGGCACAGTAATACTGAATTAGGACACAGGCACAAGTTACGTAAATCTTATTTAATATGTAGTACCACCTACATCCTGCTTTCAGACTTTCAGCATAATTTAACACATTCAAGAAGGCTACTCAAATCAATTCAAAATACCTATCTATACCAATGGTTTTCAAACTGTTTTTAAGATTTTAACTGTCCCCTTAAAATAATTAAACCTCATGCAGCGATCTTATGTAGTATATAAAATAGATAAAGCAGAGATGCTCTGGTTGAAAGTAAAGGCTGGTAGCTTGGAGTCCTTCCAACCACCTCGGGGCGACCCTTCAAAAATCCAATAAGCGTAGTTCGAAAACCAGTGAAATAATGTGATTTTATTATATCAGTAATTAAATTTATAACAACTATTTAAAGTTTAAGCTAAACAAGTTAAACACTGAATGGAATGTTGGGATATGAAGAAGGCTAGCACTCAAATGAGCAGTTAAATTCACCAGACAATATGCTTTAAAAATACCCATTAAGAAGTTAAAGGGACAAGGTCAGGTTTGTACATCATCATACTATTTATTGAAGTAGAAAGAACTTGAAAAAATTTTACTTCAAAACTTCAGTATAGTAAACTGAAACTGTGGATAATAAAATGCTGCTCCTTATTTTTATTTCCTAAAGCATGGTTTATCCCAACTGTAAATTAGGGTAATTACATTGAAATGTTCATGAAAAATAAACAGTATCCATCATGGGCTTTACAGAAACCAATTTCTTTACAAAGTCTTGAGACCAAATGTTACCTGACTATGCCAGTAAAGAGAATTTTCCTTCAAAGATATTTTTAGGGAAAATTTTTGTTTGTTTGTTTTTCTTTTTAAATTTGGGAAAACTGTAAAACATAAAAGAAATGCAAATATAGAGTAAAAAGTGCTTATTTAAAGTTAGTTCTAACTGCTCATATCAAACTTCTCTTTAGGAAAATGTATCCAGTACAATTGAATCAACATACAATTTATTTTTTTTATGGTAACAGATTTTGCATATTGAGCTTTTAAAAAGTACATTTAACTACAAAAGTAAGATTAAATACTTATAAAATATATTTACCCTGAAATGATTAAGAATATAAAATGTTGATGCCCATGTCAACAGTACATTATACATTACACGCATTATTTAAAGGTCATTTTCTTTCCAGTAATAATGTAGATAAAACCACAATATTTATTGCTTGTTATCAAGTGCAGGTTAAAATCCAGATAGCCTCCAAAAACAAATCTTTGTTTTGAGGATTTCTCAATCTGGTCAGGTGAAATATTACACTGAACATGTACGAATACAGTTGCAAAATGTACCAGTTTTCAACAAGCATTCAAGTCTTTATTTCAGATAGCTGTTTACAGTTTGGGGACAGTGTCCTGAGATGTTGGGCTGGGGACTGAATATATCACTTGTCTGGTTGGTGTCTATTCTACCGCACCATTTCTGGGGTGTGAGGAGTTTGCTAACAGACAAACCCTTGTGACTAACGCAACACTGTCAGCTATTAGTGCGGGAGCTTGCGGGGCAGAACTGTTATTTATAGGACATTCTGCTGAAACAACAGTGTCCAGCCAACAAAAGCGCCCACCAAAATGACTGACACAAACCCCATCTTAGTGAGAATAGGTTGCCAATATAACCACCTTTTCCTTTTTCGTTCAGTCTCATTTAGCCTCTGTTTCATCTGCTGCACCTTCTGAGCCGTGTTAGCTTTTCTGTCCTCTCGAATACGTTTCCGTAGAATGCTAGAATACATAAAAACAAATGAAAGGAAGTGCATGGTAAGACTTAGTTACTCTAATGCAGAGGACCTAAGCCCAAATACCCACCTCCCAAGCCCCACATTTTTAAACTCGTTAAAACACTAGAATGAAAAAGGGGAGGATTTTCAATTATTCTAAGTGGTCCAGAGATGTACTCTAATAATTCAACAATTTCTGGTAAAATTTTCTATTAATAAATACTTTTGGCAGGACCTGAAAATAAGTATGGTGCTTTCTTTTGTTGAAATGTGAGCTGGAGGCTGTCAGCTTGTTTTCTTCCTAAGCAGCTGGAAGAGGTGAGGGATAAGAGTCCCTGGCATCTAAGCCACTTTTGTCTTTACATGATTTTCCACAAAGGCCACTCATAAAAGCTATCTGCTTCATACTTCCATGAAGATGCTACCATGGGATGCCTACCTATCTGTTTGTGAGAATACGTTGCTTATTTCACTTATTTCACACTTATTTCTAGCATCCATCTTCCTATTCAATACAGAATGTCTGTTCCAATGGAAGCTCTCTGACTCCCAAGACACACAGTCCTAGGGCACTGTAAAGAAGAATGGCTAATGGCAACATGTACATTACTATATCTTGCCTTTAAAAAAATTTCACAAACTCCATCTCCTCTTTTCACTTATTTCCTATAATACAGCAAAAACCTAACCAGTTTCCTTGCCTCTGAATTAAACATTATTGCCACAGTAAGTGTTCTTAAGTCCAGCTCTCTAGTTGTGTAGCTTGATTACAAATTTTGAATGCCTTGTCAGTCTACTACATTAAGAGCCAACTTCCCCCCCCCCAGCTGAAATGTTTACCCTGAATCTAATAATGAGAAACAATCAGAGGAATCAAGATTGTGGGGTGTTCTAGAAGGCAACTGGTATAGCAGCTGCAAAGATGTCAAGGTCAGGCAAGGGGAAAAAAAGTGGTGGTGAAAAGTTCCAGATTAATGGAGACTAAAGACTAACATCAATCAAATACAATCCATGATCCCTGATTAAATCTTGAATTATTTCTTTAAATAGCTACAGAGACTGGGATCATGAAAATATTCCAAAATTAGATTATAGTGATGGCTTCACAACTCTATAAATGTACTAAATCCACTGAACTTATGCTCAATAAAATTATTTTTTTTTAAAAAGCTATAAGGTGGATCTTTTAGACAACTAGAGAAATTTGAATATATACTATATATTAGATTATTTTAACAATGTTCTTTTCAATTCTGTTCTTTCATTTCTCCCTCCACTCGACCCCTAGAATCCCTCTATTCTTACCTTACAGCATTTAATTTACAGTAAATAAGTCATGTTGCTAATTTGGGATCTTGTTTTACTCCCTAAATATGTTGGCAACTTGAGGCTCTATTTTGCTTATCTCTGTGTGCCCTTTGAATTTTAATGTCTTCCTCACTTTACCTATCATACACCTGGGTATCTTTGGCAGTCTGAACTCTGCTGTAATGACTTGCATAAATTATTACCTGAATTTAAAATTCATTATTAACAAATATGTGTGTACCTGCCAGTGAAAAGAAATTAAGTTGTATCCAAGTGCAGGTGAAACATATATAAAATATGTAAAAGATTACATGTACTTTCTCCTGCCAGAAGCCTGAGGCCAAACAACCAGGTTGCAATTCAGATAGAATCTTTAATAGATTATTTCATTTAAAAATTTCATTACAATATAGAAGATAATTATAATTTTTATCCAGTGTTGATATTTACCATATAACTCCAATATGAGTTCACTGTTACATGATTATGTAATTAGTGCTTTAAATATTATGTAAGAGTTTAAGAGGTTTTCTTTTTTTTTTTTTTTTTGAGAGAGAGAGAGGGAGGGAGATAGCAAGTCGGGGAGGGGCAGAGTGAGGGGGAGAGAGAGAACCCCAATAGGGTCAGAGCCCAACACAGGACTCGAACCCACGAACCATGAGATCATGACCTGGGCTGGAAGTCGGATGCTTAACCAACTGAGCCACCCAGGCACCCCATGAGGATTTTTTAAAGAGGATTTTTATGATATTTAGAGAAACTGGTTGTGGTTTTGATTGGGTTGAAAACAGAATTCTTTCCCATGTAGAATAATGGAATAGAGGCTCTTGCTTTCCAAAAATGTACTATATGTTTTCAGGAATGGAACGAAAACAAGTACCAAGAGATGACATTACTTAATTTAAGAATGCAATTTGAGAGAAGAAAGAACTATTCTCTATTTGTGAATCTTTATTTACTTAGTTGGGCCTAAGGAAATTATGCCCATGTAATAACCTTCCCAGGTCTAAACAATTCTATGATTCAAAAGCCACAAATCGGTAGGGAACGATTCCTGTGGGCCCTTGCCTTCGGAAGGCCACATGGAATTCCTTACAGTGGCACCAACAGCAGGCTACTACCAATACATGTCCTGACAGGCATACTTCATGCTATGCAAACACAAAGGAGAAGGATCCAAGTAACCTGACTTTTCATTTATCCAAACTGTTCTCCACTCAGTGACCTGGGTTTATGGGTTACACTATAATTGAGAACACTGGCTTTTAAACTTTAACAGCAAGAAATATCTTACGGTCATCACACAAAAGTAGCCTCACACATAAATACACTTATACATGTACACAATATATATGCCAATGTATAGAATTACTATATTATGTAAAGATGTTAAAGTACTTAGCTATTATCTGTGATACTCTGATCTATTTTATCCTCTAATTTAAACTCTAATTTCTATTTTATTGTATTCTATTATTTAAAAAATGCCTTTTTTTTTTTTTCAACGTTTATTTATTTTTGGGATAGAGAGAGACAGAGCATGAACGGGGGAGGGGCAGAGAGAGAGGGAGACACAGAATGGGAAACAGGCTCCAGGCTCTGAGCCATCAGCCCAGAGCCTGACGCGGGGCTCAAACTCACGGACCGCGAGATCATGACCTGGCTGAAGTCGGATGCTTAACCGACTGCGCCACCCAGGCGCCCCTAAAAAATGCTTTTTTATAACTCACTAAGTTATTTCATGACTATAGGAATGTGACCTTTATTATGAAAAAACTGACTTGAAGGATATTTAATAATGAAAATGAAAGAAAACGTATTGTGTTCTATTCCCTTGAAACTGAAATTCCTTCAATAAGATCTTGATTTATTTTATTAGCCTCCCTAATGCAAAGCTATAAGATCAGTATTAAAATTTATTGGGATTGAACAATACAATTTTTCATGGCAATCTTTCTTTTATGCCCTTTCACTTTTCTACAACTTTGCTCTCAGTCTTCTCTGCTCTATCCTGGGGGTGGGGGAAGCAAACAACCTATGTATGCACACACCACTTCCCCTGCCCCCAATAAAACCACCTCCGCAATCACTCTGTAACTCCTGAGTGGTTTTCCTCTTTAGGAAAGATTAAAAATCAACACTTTTGAAATACTAAGGATACCGATTCAATCATCAAGCCTGTGTTCCATTTAATTCTGCACATGGTACTAGCCAAAACAACAACATTAGGAACCTGAGAATCTTATTACCGATAAAGACAATTTAAAACAATTTTGATCTCTTGGTTTAAAAGTATTCTAATTAAAGTGAAAGAAGGAATAAATAAGCAACTTCATGCTTTAACTTTAGTTTAAAACCACTAGAACCATAAATAAGGAGTAACACTGCTAAGTCACTAAACTCTTCAGTACAATACATAATAACACACATGTATTTATTGTCATGTTACCTGTGATAGGATTTCAGGTAATTTTTATACTGGTGAAACACAGAAGTGAAGCTACTGTAATGTATAGGAGAACTCAATAATTTTCATGGTGCCCCAACATCCCAATGTTAACAAACAGGACTACAACATGCAATTTTCCACAAAAAGCTATTTGACAAAAAGAAGAGAGAGAACATCACTGACAGATGAAGAGAGGAAATGAATGAGCTCTTTCACTCATACCTGAGGATGCCAGCTTCCTAACTGGTGAGAGATAATCAGAGCCTTAGAAATGGAAATGTTTAATTTAAAAACTGAAATCGTTTACAGATTCCTATGGCTTCAAAACTCAAAAAGTATAAAAGGGCATTTTGTGTAATTTTTTTTTTTTAAAAAGACTCTTCCCCTTCCAATAATGGAACGATGCTTAAATATTCATTTAACTATTTTATCATTTCATTAAAGGCATATTATCAACTCCATTACAACCATAAATATGAACACGAATACTTGTACAAATGTTAGGTATTCGTACAACTTATTTTCTATATACTGTACGTTTTAGCATCTAATTATATTAACTTTATAGCACTCAAGTTAGTACTGAGTTAAGCCATTTTCCAACTGGTTTCTATCAGTACTGGCCTCATAATAGGGCCAAAGCGCTTTTGAGATCAACAATGTCATCATATACTACTCAAATACCCTTAGGTAATAAGTAAGTGAATAGCTACATTAATTCAATAAACAAAAGTCCTATATTAGTTCATATCCACTGAATTTATTAAAATAAAAAAGTCTCATCTTTTTAAGCATGCTATTGCCATCAGCTTACCTCTCGCTGTTCTCCTCCATGGTATCCTGCATTTTAGAGGATAGTCCTGTGTATCTGTCACCTGTCAGTTTTTCTTCTTCTAGGCCTATCCTATTCCCATTGTATTTTTCAGTCATTATTTTGGTTGGTGAATGATCAAAAGCAGGACATAAGTCTTCCTTAGAGAGTTCTTTCCACCGTTTCTAGGTAGGGAAGAGAAGTGAAAAACAAATGCAAATACTAAAATTGTGGTTTTCTTTAAATAAGAAGGATATATGAATTGAAATTCTAGATTCAACTTAAGAAAACCCTGTGATGCTGACAAACAAAAAAAAAAGGCATTTTACCAAAACTCTTGTAGATGGGTAAGTTCAAAATTAAAAAATAATATAGCATTTAATATTTATATACATCACTATATAGTTGAATCTTGATGAAATTTAGTGGACTTTAACCTATTTAAGATAAACTATACCAGGACCTCACCAAACTATGAGTCATAGGAAGATTTTAGCCAAAGCTGGATTCTGCTGGACTCCTAACCCACAGGTATGTTATCACTGGAAACAGTGACCAAGATGGCAGTTGAATGTGATCTAGCATGTCCTAGTTCCTTGCCACAGTCTGGTCTGGTGGAGAAACAACAGTGAGATCTCCAGGCAGGTCTCTCTGATGCCAGAGGACTTTAATTTGGTTTTTTCCTACCACATATGCTAGCAGATTCAGGTAGCAAGCCCATTACTAGGCTAGAGAAAACTCTGCTAGCATGCTTGGACTTTATAAAGGAGGCGGGATTTAGACCAAGATGAAGAGAAATTCCATTTCCTTCATCTGTCAAACAGGCTGTCATCACCTGTTGTGATTGAGACATAACATGCCTAGCACCATGTCTGGCAAATGTTAGATTCCTTTGCCCTCAATGTCACCATCCCTTGTAAGAGAGGAAGAGGTACAAAGTGTACCTGGGCACCTGGAAGATGAAGGCAGTGACAAAGTGCCAGCCAGAGAGGGAGAAGACAAGCATAACCTCGGCATGGGAACACCTCAAGTCCTTCAAGGGCTGGGAACACAACAATCCATCTCTCTGACAATGACAAGACTAGAAAAGGTGGCAGCAAGAGCCAATGGTTTGGATGATCTGTGACTCTGAAACTGGTGCAAAATGACCTGGTATGGACAGGGGTGGCCCTCTTAGAAGATCCTATCACAGAAGCATGGAGTCTGGAATCTAATGAATAAGAGACTCTGTAACTTACTGCCTGAGGATTTTAATGTTCTTGAACAGAGATGTAACACTGTAATTTATACTAGTCTGGAACGTAGTGAAACAATCTTTCCCTGGAGTTGCTTTGGTTAAAAAAACTGCATGGTTAAAAACAATGCTTATATATTCAGATTAAAAAAAAATCCCCGGAAAATTCACTGATACACTGATAAATTAGTTTCGAACTTGTTTCACTACCCTACAACAGAGGACTTAAAAAGGAAAAAGGCATTTTACTACATTCCACCTTTCCCATATATAGCTATTTTATTGCGATGCATAATTAATGTGTCTCTTTTTAAAAGTAATTTACAAAACACTTAGAGAATGTAAAATTTTGTAATTTGTTACATTTGGAGGACAGGGTGTAATACAGTATGGTACAATCTGACTAAGCAGATGAAGAACATGTGGAGCTTGGCCCTGAGAGATGAGGCCAGAAAGAAAGACATCAATGAAAGAAGTCTCTGAACTTATGTGAGAAATAATGGAACGGAACCAACCTCTCCTAAGCAAGGACCTCATAGGATGTGATGTAAACCACATCCAGAAAGAACATTCTGCCAGTATTTGAGAAACAGTTGTAATGAAACGTAAGAGTAAGAGGTGTTTTTTAAAGTTTATTTATTTATTTATTTTGAGAGGGACAGAAACAGCATGAGTAGGGGAGGGAGGGAGGGAGGGAGGGGGAGAGAGGGGGGAGAGGGAGAGAGAGAGAGAGAGAGAGAGAGAGAGAGAGAGAGAGAGAATGCCAAGCAGGCTCCGTCCGCACTGCCAGTGTAGAGCCCAATGCGAGGCTCGAACCCACAAAGCCATGAGATCATGGCCTGAGCCAAAACCAAGAGTGGGATGCTTAACTGGCTGAGCCACCCAGGTGCTCCAAGAGTAAGATGTTTTCACTTCAGATGACTATGTCAGGTTTCTTTCTTCCCCTGTTTTACATTTTTGTTACTCAGTCCAGACAGCATTTTGTATATTGAAGATGCATGTGGGGAAACTTTTCAAGCACTTACTATACCCACACTGACCTAAAACTTCAACTGCACCAGCTCTTAATCCTCAGAAGAACCTCAGGAGGGAGGTGCTACCTCTGCTATGATTATCCCCTTTTACAGATGAGATGGGCTGAAAGAACAGAAGTAATTTGCCCAGGTTATGCAGCTAATGAACAGCAGGCCCAGATTTTAATGCTATAATCCCTGATTAACTGTACCTGTGAACAGCTCATCAATTTCAGATACCACATAGTTTAAGAAAGTACCCAATAAAAATGTGAAATTGTCTCCAGAATTTAGGCTGTTCAAAAAAAATTTTTTTTTTAATTTCAATTCTTCACTGGGGTCCTAGTTATAACAACTTGGCCTTATACTTGGACAAAACTCAACAATGTCAATAAACAAAACAATGACAAAAATCAAGTCTTACTGGACCATTTCCCAGAATATGCAACAAATTTCAGAATCTGTCAACATGAAAAGGATTCAGCAAAAGGGATGGGAGTGGAGGAAAGGAGATATTTAATGGTAGTGAATTTTTAAAGAATATGTCATTTTGCCATGTCTCTGGGCAGCAAACTCACTCAACTTTGCCTTCCCTGTGACCCACAAGCAAGCAGGCACTCCAGAATCATCTGCCTAGGCTTGTCACTGCTGACTGGTGAAGCCAAGGAATCAATACTGCATTCAGCTACTTCATTCAAGCTCTCATCTGAAGGCCTGGAGGACAGCTTATCTGGACTGAGAGTTTCTCATCTCCCTTTCTAATTCTACACTCACACTGAACGAAACCCTACACATCACGTGCTGCCTGCACATCACCCTGCACAGTGCCTGCAACCCCACCCTACCCATCTTTCACTGAAGAAAGTCACTCGAAGGAGCAGTTAAACTTGAAACCCACTATAATTTGTTAAAAATAAATCATTTGCTTTAGTAGTAGTATCAAATTACCAACTAGAGATCTTACAAGATTAATTCTGAATTGCCAATCTGGATATTTTACTCTGTGAAGTTTGCTGTCATCATGGATACTGGGAGTGTGCTAATATGTGGTAATACCAGTAACTACAATGTGTTTTTATGCCCAGCCATGTGCCAAGAAAGATGTACGGTAAATGATATGTTTTTAGAGACAACTAGAACTTACCTGTATATATCTACGTAGGTCAAGGTCATTGGAAATTCCCAATGATTACAATTATGTAGCATGTATTTATTGATTTCAGAAACAATCACCTTTGATGTGTATATTAACAGCTCTCCTTTCTCCTGACAGATTCTAAATCACTTTTTATCCACATATGTCAAAAACCTTCATAGGAAGACTAACATAAAACTGTATCCAATAATGAAAATACCACTCACACAATACAAATCTAAATTAAGACTGAAGGTGAAGACAGATATCCCCTTTAGGAACAAATAACAGAGACTAAGAAATATGGTTTGGGTGCTGCTGAACAGACAGTTCTCTGGGGGGACACCAGTTCAGGAAGTATCACCCTCCCACACCCCTGGCCACCATGCTCACAAAGAAAGAAGCTTCCTTCTTCTTACAAATATTAACTTTCCCTAAAATTCAGAGGTAAAGAGGAGGAGGTAGGCATATGGAGAGAAAGAAGAGCCTTTTTATAAATTGGTTATCATATCCTTGTATGTCAAAAGAGACAATTTCATGGGCTACAGTTATATTCATGCAGTTTGGGGTTTCTACATTAACTTTAGATCTTATAATTTAGGATCTCGGGGAACTTTCCTTTTCTTAGATTTTTATTCTAAGCTAAGGTTCTAGAACAGCACTGTCCAGTGAAATATAATATAGTGACATTTACAATTTTCAAATGTCTAGCAGCTGTGTTAAAAAAAGATGAATTTTAGCTATGTTTTATTTAACCCAATATAAAAAACACTGTCATTTGAACATACAATCAATATTTTAAAGTGTTTTTTTTTAATTTACTTTGAGAGACAGAGAGGAAGGGAGGGACAGAGAGAGGGAGACAGAGAGAATCCCAATCAGGCTCCACACTGTCAGTGCAGAGCCCAATACAGGGCTCAAACTCATGAACCGTGAGTTCATGACCATAGCCAAAATCTAGAGTCAGACAACCGAGTCATCCAGGTGCCCTAGATATATAATCAATATTTTTTAAATTATTGAGACATTTTATACTTTTTCTCCCTGTATTTAATCTTCAAAATCTGGTATGTATTTTACACTTTAAGCAGATCTTGATTCCAACTAGCCATAATTCAAGTACTCAGTAACACATGTGGTTAATGGCTACAGTATTATAGCAAAGTTCCAGGAGGAGAAAAATATCTATGTAAGATAAACCCATATATATTTACTCATTAAAATACAGATACTCATTAATTACCATTATAATTAATAAAATCACAGCACATATAAATTATAGGAGCCTTAAGATCATTTCTGTGGAAACTGACCCCTCCAAATGGGTAATAGGCTTTTCTGATCCTTAATACCTGAAAAATACAGAGACATTTCCAATGTCTTCCTGAAGAAGGGGCAGAGAATGCCTTGGGTTTGTATGAAGTGCTAATGAAGCCAAAAGGAGATTCTGATGGCTACACCGTAGCAGATAAATTGAGACAGAAAAAACTCTCCCAAGTCACAAACTACACTGTCATAATAATAAAGACCACAAGAAGTATGTTCATAAAATTCATCTCTGTAGTGAAAAAGATTCTCAAAGTAAGTGTGTATATATTCTGAAACTAAAGAAACTTGAAAAAATTTTAAAGTGGAGGGAGAGATACTATCCAAAGGATGGCACACTTTCCCTACAATTAGTGTGTTAAGAACATCCAGGAGATGAGCAGTGAAACAACTAGGGAACATACAAGTGTGTGAAAAAAGTCTGGTATAACTACTTAACTTTTTTAAACTCCAGATTTAAACTGGAGAGTTCACTGGGATAAAAAAGACATTTTCCTAATGGAAGAAGGGTCTTACGCTTTGTGGGCTAAGCTAAGCTACATACTACCTTGTGGACTGATGCAATATTTTTCTTTACTAAAGAGTATTCTTTAATGCTATATAAATATTTGAAAAAAACATTTTAAATGAACTTTATTTTTTTCTTTCTTCATTTTAAAGGTTTTATTTTCATTCCAGTTAACATACATTGTTATATTAGTTTCACGTATATCATTTAGTAATTCAACAATTTCATACATCACTCTGCGCTCATCAACACAAGTGCACTTCCTAATCCCCATCACCTATTTAACCCACCTCCCCACCCACTTCCCTTCTGGTAACCATCAGTTTGTTTTCTACAGTTAAGTCTCTTGGTTTGCCTCTCTCTTACTTTATTTCCCTTTGCTTGTTTTGTTTCTTAAATTCCACATATGAACGAAATCATATGGTAATTATCTTTGTCTCTGATTTCGCTTAGTATTATACTCTCTAGCTCCATTCATGATGTTGTCAATGGCAAGATTTTAATAAAACTTTAAATTTTTTTTTAACGTTTATTTATTTTTGAGACAGAGAGAGACACAGCATGAACGGGGGAGGGTCACAGAGAGAGAGGGAGGCACAGAATCTGAAACAGGCTCCAGGTTCTGAGCTGTCAGCACAGAGCCCGACGTGGGGCTTGAACTCATGAACCGTGAGATCATGACCTGAGCCGAAGTCGGACGCTTAACCGACTGAGCCACCCAGGCGCCCCATGATTTTAATAAAACTTTAAAATCTCACCGGTAATAGTTTGTCTTGAATAGTTACAATTATACTAATGATGAGAAGAGTTAGCTGAGGAACAGAACTGCTTAAGAATATTTTAATGTCTCTGAAATCTACACGACACCTAACTTATATTTAATTCCATTATAACAGATGGTCTGATCTGAGTTATAAAAGGCGGTTTATTCAGAATATTCCTGTCTTGGCTAGTAATCACAGATATGAAAGAGTCAGTATATGTGTTCATAAGAGAAACATAAAGAGATTTTATCGACTTATGTTCAATACTATGTGATCAGATCAGACAAGAAATGTGGGTCTGTTGTTATTTCTGTTTCTATTTTACATTTTATGTTAGTACATTACACAGATTTCTGATATCAGTCTTTGAACGTAGTCTTTGCAAATGTGGAATAAAAATATCTTCATGAGAGTACAGCCAGCAACCCAGAGAAACATAACTTTGTACTGGAATTTCATTATGTCTGCCATAAGTACTCAAGTTGCTCACTGTTATAAAATTAAGTATTTATTACATGAATTATTCTATAATCACAGGTCAGGTTTTTAATGAGCTGAAAGTACAAACAATTTCTGGTTTATTTTAATACTTAAATGCTTATACCCTCCTTACATAAACATTTCGCTTTCTTTAATGAAATCTTATTCCCACTGGGGCTTTTGAGTAACAGGAAGGATTTAACATGAGGCTGAGGTATGTATGAGGCAATAAGCTTAAACTTTAGTTTTAAGACAGCCAGCTGGATTTACCATGTGAATGTAAATATGCTTTTTGGAAGGAAGGGAGAAAATATGTGCTTAAATGAAGTGCAGTTATTTGATGCTAATCATATATAATACACAGGTATTTTTGCCCCTAAAAAAATTTACCTGTATATTTGAATCTCCCTTTATAAATTTTGCTCCTTCTATTATAGTCATATATGAGAATCTGAGTTGGTCTGGTGTCTGAATAAGTCCCATTCGATATTTTCTCATATTCAGTAACAGTTGTTTAATGTTAATATCATCTCCTTTTTCCATCTGCAAGAAAGGTAAAAATTATTCAAGCCTTCTGTTGTTAGGGTCTAGGGAAAAGAAGCAATACAGGATAGCTGCTAAGCGCTTTACAATGAGCAGTGTGTTTCCCCCAAGAACAAGAAGTTACCACTGCAGCTGTAACTCTTTCTGTACGAAACAGGCACCCCAATCCACCATCACCCCCACAACTCAACTGTTCAAGCAGTAGGTGGAAGCCTTTAGCTGATATACAACTGATTCCAAACCAATCACAGTAATCTCATTCAGTTTGGCCAGTGTTTGCCTAAGGAAGGATTTATGGCCAGTTCTGGCTTAATGTAAAGATAAACCCACTGAGATTAGTGCTCTTCTTTTTTTCTTAAAGGTCTTGGCAGAAATAATTTTTTTTTGCCCAGTGCCCTTCTGCCTTCATGTCTGTGTCCAGTAGCCACCTAGAGATGGTGGAGAAGACAGAAAGAGCCTAGATGCACTATGACACTGTTGAGTCGCCCCACCAGCCCTGGACTATAGATCTGGTATTATAACCACCGTACTCCTCACCACAAATGAAAAACAAAAAGTGGAAGTTATGTTTGGCAGGGAATAGGCACAAACACACAATCCAGTTTTTAATATTCACCATTAACTGCATAGACACCAGAGTTTTTAGACATATCAAAGTTCACTTTAATGTAACACTCTGGCTTTTTTTTAAACATCTTTTTAAAAAAATTTTATTTTTTTTTTAATTTTTTTTTTCAACGTTTATTTATTTTTGGGACAGAGAGAGACAGAGCATGAACGGGGGAGGGGCAGAGAGAGAGGGAGACACAGAATCGGAAACAGGCTCCAGGCTCTGAGCCATCAGCCCAGAGCCTGACACGGGGCTCGAACTCACGGACCGCGAGATCGTGACCTGACTGAAGTCGGACGCTTAACCGACTGCGCCACCCAGGCGCCCCTATTTTATTTTTAAATCAAGTATGCTCTATGCCCAACATGGGGCTTGAACTCATGACCCTCAAGATTAAGAGTTGCATGCTCTATTGACTGAGCTAGCCAGTAACAATTGGCTACATGTAACAATTGTTACATGAATTGCCATATAACAATTCAGTTTCTGATTGAGGTATATTACATATAGGCAGAGTGGTAAAGTAATACGGTAGGTGTATTAAGACTCAACTATTCTTATACTCTAGAGGTGCTCTGTACCCAAGTAAGGAAAAATGGACATTTAAAAAATGTCCTGTATCCAGGCTGGGGCTGGGAATGGGGTGGTGAGAAAGAATACAGCCCTTGGGGGCACATATCGGAGTCTCAGGGGACTAACAGTACTAACATCTATTTGTATCTCACAAAATACCAGAGACTCTTCAGATTACTCTAAATGTATTAATTCACTTAATTCTCACAACACCCCCGTGAGGAAAAGTGCCATTATCCTTATTTGTAAATAAGGAAACTCAGGCAAGAGAAATGAAGTGCTTGTCTGAGGAGGCAGGAATTCAATATTACGTATCAATTTATATTTGAGAAACAAAGAGGGAGGAGGCTTATTGTTTTTGTAATATAAAGCTACCAGGAAAAAACAAAAAAAAAGTCTTTTGGGAGATCTCTAGAATCACCTTGGACACAGGACCAGCACTCTCACAAATAAGAGGCAGTTCAAAGGGTATGAATGAGGTTTGTTTAGGTTTTTCTGAAAGAAGGCAGAAGTTTGAAAATCACAGTTCTGGGATAGTGGTATTAGAGCTTACTTCTGCCAGTGGAAACAGTAAAAATTAAACAAGACTAAAATTAGATCATAAGAAGCACTTACCAGAACAAGACAGGTATCTACTAGAGAAAAGGTGCCTGACCGCCCAATGCCTGCACTACAGTGGATCACTGCAGGCCCATGTTCAGGATTCAGGGAACCAGATTCTCTCACTTTAAATAAGAAATTGAGAAATGAAGCTGGTGATTCAGGGACTCCAAAATCTGGCCAGGTAGTATAATGAAAGTGAGATATTGTTCTGGTTTCACCACTCTACAAAGTGAAAATCAAGGGGGGAAAAGTTAGTTCTAATTTCTTAAAAAAAAAAAAATTATTTCAGAGAGATAATGTATTTTGTGTAATGCTTTTAATCCTTATGGACTTTTGTACCATGATTTTTCATTTGGTTTCTGATAATCACTCACACAAGTTTGGAGTTCTTTAGGAGAATCTGGAATTTATTAATAATAGCTAACATTTCTAAAACATTATTTTGCAGGCATGTTCTAAGCTTTTTATGTATTCAACTCATACAACAATCCTATTAAAATTCATTTTCTAGATGAGAAAACCGAGGCCAAAGGTTAAGCAATTTACCCAAGGTTACAGATTTAGAAAACAGCAGACCAGAATCAGAAGCAGTAGTCTGGGTTCTTAGCCACTAACCTGAACCATACATGTTGCCAGGATTTTAATTCATATATCGTGGGTTTTTTTCTTCCATTAAAAAAAAATTCTACCAGTATAATTTTACATTCTTTAGTGGTTTCCTTTTTAAGCACTCCCAAGATTTTTCAGATATAATTTTTCTCGTTATACGAGTCATCTTGTAGATTGTGCTACCCAGGCTCAGAGAAGCAACTCAAGAATTAATTTAAAGAAACAATCTTCACATTTTTTATTGAAACTGCTCTTCTAATTGCTGCTTTTCCCCATGGCAATAATTTCCAATCCTAAAACTGTTTATATGACTTTGTGATGTGCTAAAATGTTTTACCAATATGCTAAATGCTTCCTGTCTCTTAAAGCCTGCCTGGCATTCACTATCACTTCCTGGATATTCCTGATGAGCTTTATTTCTGACTAACTCATTATGAAAATGTTCCTAAGCTTCTGCCAGCTGCTTTTGCCCCAAGGAGCACTTCGGTGCCTTCTCGTCTTCATTTCTGTAAATGAAGCAGTAACCCTCAAGCATGTCTCTGCACAATTTCTCAGTTTCATTATAGGACGTTTTTGGAGGGAGAAGCCATATAAGCAACATTTTAAAAAGTTATTTTTAATGGTTAAGGGCTAAAGATTATTATTACAGCATTGTGCTTTTGGTACCAGTTTTCAAAATTAAGGTTAACTTTCTTTTTTTTTTTTTTTTAATTTTTTTTTCAACGTTTTATTTATTTTTGGGACAGAGAGAGACAGAGCATGAACGGGGGAGGGGCAGAGAGAGAGGGAGACACAGAATCGGAAACAGGCTCCAGGCTCTGAGCCATCAGCCCAGAGCCTGACGCGGGGCTCGAACTCCCGGACCGAGAGATCGTGACCTGGCTGAAGTCGGACGCTTAACCGACTGCGCCACCCAGGCGCCCCAACTTTCTTTTTTTTAAAAAAAAATTTTCCTTTTTTTTTTTTTTTTTTTAAAGTAGAGATTAAGACTCCCAAATCCCAGATTTGGTTATATGAGGTATAACACTGATAAAATACACTGCAGAAACTTTTTAATGTCAAATTATATACTTCTAGTGATTGATTTTTCTTAACATTTGGCTTTCACAATTCCAAAGATACTCTGATCCATAGGTTCTCAATATACTGAAGGTACTAGATGATTTCTCTATTATTAATTAAAGTGACCATTGGGATTACTAGATTTCAAATCATTTCCTTTTAAATTCCAAAGTAAGCATGGTAAGTGAAAGAAGCCAAACTCTAAAGGCTATATACTATATAATCCTATTGATATGACAGTATGGAAAAAGCAAAATTATAGGGATAAAAACCAGCTCAGTGGTTGCCAGCAGCTGGGAGTGGGGTAAAGATGACTGTACACAGGCAACCTGGGAAAATTTGTAAGACTCACAGGGGGAAGGTGATGGAGCTGCTCTGTACTTTGATGGGGGAGGGGTGTTATACAATTGAATGCATTGTCAAAACTCAGAACTGTACACTGAAAAGACTGTATCTTACTGTATATTTAAAAAAAGGGAATTAAAAGTACTTTATTAAAAATGATATTTAAAACATTCCAAATTAAGAAGGCTAAACTTCAGTTTCCTCTTACAAAGCCATAAATGGACATGTAACAACACAACACCAACAGAGGAATGGGCTAAAGTGGCTGGTCTCTGGCTGGCTCAGAGCCATAGAGAACTCAGTCACATTTTACTTTAAATGGGGTCTAAGACTTCAGTGGGAGTGTTTAACCCCTTTTCTCCCCTGACAACTGCCCTGCTGTGGTCATCTGCCACTATGCAGTGCTGACAATACACAGCGGGGCCAGACTTGATCCATATGAGCTCCAAGCAGGTCCTGTGTGGACCTGCTGCAGCGCCCAGGTCTCAGAGGGGTGGCACCAGAACCCCGCTCTCCTGCGAGCCGTGCTCTGCAGGGTGTGACTCACTGTTCCCAAGTGGTTGTATGCTCACTTATTGCATCACCTCCTGGCTCAAAACCTATAGTTAACCCACTATCCTGAGCAACTGCTTCCTTTTTCTCTGCTTGTATGATTTTGGCTCAAGACTAGCAGTCTCTTGATTTTTTTCAAATTCAGGTCATGCTGTCTGGGATACTCAAAGTCGGTTTCCAGAAATGTTCACAACTGTTTGTATGATGCAGTCTTCCCCACTAATAGATTTTTGAGAATCAGTCTTTTTCTTTCCCCTAACAGGACCAAATTAAAGAACTTCTTGAGAAGTTTAGTTTTATTAATGTGCCCCTACTGAAACAAGATTCAAAATCACAGCTCACAAAAATCATACAGTTCCCAACGGACCACTTCATGAAGCAATAAGATCCATATGTTTAGTACTGAGATAAAAAAAGGAATGTTTATATGCTTGATTAGATCTCTTTTCCCTCCTCTTCATGCTAGAAAAAAAATGAGAGGAGGGAAAAAAGGGTAGCCAAAGACTAGAGAGCTAAAACAAAATTCATCTTTATTCCAAACAAGCTCTACACGTAGACTTAACAATTTTTGACAAGCTCCTTATTTCAAAACTAGTGGAAGCAGCCTTTTCTTCTCCCAGGTTACCAAATCACATCAGTCCTCCTGTGCTGCCCAGTTGGCGTCTTCCATTCCCTCCCACTGTTGACCTCACACCCCATGCACACCTGGTTGCAACCGCAATTAGGTGGCTGCCCCCGTCTCCATCCCCATGTGCACATGCCTGCCAAACCTTCTTTGTAAAATGCTGTGTAATGTATACCACACTGCAAAAATGTCAGTGGTTCACTGCTCTTTTTAAGACAAAATCTTATTTACAGTTGTTGAAGGAGAATTCTATCCTTAAAGGATATCTAATTCATTATATATGGAAGCCAGGAAGATAATCTATGAATTGAGTCAGCTATGGCAATTTAAGTGTATGCTACCTAAAGTGATTCAAATTCAAGTTATTTAACTATTATTTTATACAGATAAATAAGATTATGAATTTTCTATTTATATTTCTATTATAAAGAAATCTATATAGTTCTTTGGGCCTAGGCCCAATTATTTTCACACTTCAGGTATTTACAGAAGTACCAAGATAATATTCCCAGAAGACTTTCATTAGCCCAATACTGTCATCTGTAAATGGTTACAAACAGTACTTACCTTATAAGGCTATTGTGAGGAATAAATGAAACATTAAATTTAAAGTACCCAACTTATGCCTGCACATGGTAAATGCTTAACAGATACCTTTTCTGAAATAATTATACCAATTGCTTCCATTGTAGCTCCTAAAAAGCTCCTATCAATTGTAAGCCTCTCCACATTTCCAATGTTTTGGAAATATGTACTTAATACTTCCTCTACATGAAGGAGTAGCGAAGTTTGGGAACCTTATCTCCTAAATGCAGATTTTTTTTTTAATCAAATCTGTATCTCACTGTAAGTGCCTTAGTTCAGTCCCTCATCAATTTTTGCCACGATCATTGTACAATCTGTATTAAAGATTTAGTTACTGCAATTCATTTTGAAAGATGAACAGAACTCACTAGATCAGGAGGAGAGTGACAGAAACAGGTAGGCATGGGGCTTGCATTCTAAGCAGAGAGAAAAGCAATACACAGAGGTGCGGGCCCCCAACCAACAACCTGTTTGAGAACAAACCCTGAGTGCCTGAAAGAGATGGAGGTGGACAAGTAGGAAGGACCAGGCTGTGCTGGGCCCTGGACTTCTGCATTGTCCACAGAAGGATTTTTAAATTTTTTTTTTTTTAACGTTTATTCATTTCTGAGAGACAGGGTGTGAACAGGGGAGGGACAGAGAGAGGGAGGGAGACACAGAATATGAAGCAGGCTCCAGGCTCTGAATTATCAGCACAGAGCCCAATGCAGTGCTTGAACCCACGAACTAGGAGATTCTGACCTGAGACGAAGTTGGACGCATAACTGATTAAGCCACCTACACGCCCCTGCAACAGAAGGATTTTTTAAGAGCAAGGTGGAAGGATCATGACTGTGTTTTAGAATACCACATACTCAGTGCAATGGCAGAGGGGAGCACAAAGTTAACAGGTAAGGACTATCCACAGGGAGCTGAGAACCTTGTTATGGAGTCAAAGTAAATACCTATAAGATGGTAAAATTTAAATTATGGAGAGAAGTGTAAGACGATCATAGCTGTCAAGAATGAATGTGTCAGAGATAAGTTGAGAAAGACCTAAGTAAGGAATGGGCCACAAGGTGGTACTGAAGGATGTGCAGGATATAAATAGGCAGAGAAGAGAAGATAACATTCCAGGTGGGATAAACTGTTTAAACTATTCTGAATCAAATCCCAGCTGAGCATCACAATAATTAGGCACTCATCCTGTTTTGGGCAACTCTACAGGGACAGAGAAATAGAAGGCAGCCAGCATTACAATAGTATTCCTGGAACTTGATAAACATAAAGCTGGCCAAAAATATTATGGAAAATAATGAAGAGCTACTGAAAAGAAAATCCTGAAAGACAAATAAGCACTCTAGATGACCTTATATTTTAAAAGCCCTGCAAAAGCTCCTTCGTAGCTTAAGCCACGGGGCCACTTTAAAAGCAAAGATGGAATCTCTTCATTCAGGGGCAAAAGTTCAGACTCTTAGCTCTGATGAAGACACTGGGAAGTGTCACTGGCGTGCAGCTTTACTGCTCTCTTAGACCAGAGGCCTCTAAAAAAGCAGGGTCTGCACAGACAATAGCCCTGGCCTCAGACCTGTTAATACATACAAGTCAGACTCCTTTAGAAGCAAACTGGTTCTCTGCAGCTCAGGGTGAGGTAGGTGACCACTCACCTACTGCACTATCACCTTTCTCTCTCTTTTGGTATTTTTCTCCCTCAACTTGTTCTGGTCAACTGCCCTTGCTCCTGCAGTCCTTCCCAACTCAATAATATTACAAAGGAAACAGATACACACAACTAAAGCTAATAATTATAACTCTTGCATGGAGTCTTAGGCCTATTAACAGCAACCCTCTGAGGTACGTGTGTCCTTATACTCATTCTGTAGATGAGAAACTCAGGCATAGAGGGTAAACAGTGGGACCAATCATACAGCCAGGATTGGCAGAGTTGGAATTTAAACTCAGACCATCTGGTTCCAGAACTGAAATACCTAGTTAAATGCAATTCTGCTTCTCACACTGAAATGCTACTTTATTCTTCTAACATTCCTAGCTCTTACTAAAGATTGTAAAGTAGAATGTAAACATAATATTGCTATTAATTATGGTGGACTCTGAACCAGGCCAATAAGAAATCTCACAGTTGCTAGCAACTAAAACACAGTTTTGGCCAATGGTTGGCCGGTCAGTTCACATGCGGGCCTCAAATCCAGAAAGATGCTTCAAAACCAAGGGTTTTCCTTTACTTTGACAATTCATACTTTTTTCAAAAGACTTAGCCCCATATCATTACAAGTCAGGAGATTTGGATTTGAGTTCTAGAGCCTGTCACTTATTAGCTGAGTAATCTATTTATGGAAAAAATCCTATAACCTAATGGATTTTAGGTTTTTAAAAAATACATGAAATACAGAGATATTAAGAATATTTACTCTATCAAATCATAGGAAGAATATGGGTCAAGTGATATATACGTAAAAGTGCTTTGCAAAATGATAAAATACAAAAGTCATTCTATTTTATCATGTTAATCAACTCTTAATTAGGATAGGTTTCAGAAACAGGGAAAAATATCTATGACCCTCTCCATCCAAATTAATTTAAAAAAAAAAATTTTTTTTTCAACGTTTATTTATTTTTGGGACAGAGAGAGACAGAGCATGAATGGGGGAGGGGCAGAGAGAGAGGGAGACACAGAATCGGAAACTGGCTCCAGGCTCTGAGCCATCAGCCCAGAGCCTGACGCGGGGCTCGAACTCACGGACTGCGAGATCGTGACCTGGCTGAAGTCGGACGCTTAACCGACTGTGCCACCCAGGCGCCCCAAATTAATTTTAATGCCAAAGCAGATGAGGTACTTGGGATAAATACCAAGAGAAGATGATTCAGAGAACTATGAGAAGTTTATGGAAAAGCAGTTCTGTTTCTGGGAATAAGCACTGCACAGTTATTGATGTATCTCAGGGCAACTTAAGACATACGTAAATGGAATAGCTGGTGCAAAATAACTACAGTAAGGAAAATTTATAAATAAATCTAAGCCTTGTAATTCCCAACCCTGAGACTTCTTAGATAACCTAAGAGATCACATGAAAAGCTTAGTTATGGATGTCATGGGCAGTTGGGAGTGGGCCCTAAGCACACTATGTGCACCTGTGCTTAGAGTGGGCAGCAAAAAACAGAGGGGTTCCAAGAGATCAACTATACAAAGTATTTCTACATAACTAAAAGTGTGTGTATTTGTGGTGTGTGTGTGCGTGTGTGCGTGCGTGTGTGTGTGCATGCACGTGCACACTTTATATATCCCTTCTCTATAAAGCTTTTTTTGGACAATGATCACATATTAATCACTTAATTCAGTTAATGGTTAACTGAAACAGATGTATTCCTGAAATTATTTTTTGGCAAACATTTTCCTATTTTCTAGTTTCCCTAGCTCCTAAGAGCATCTCAGAATCACTCTCATTTCATATTTTCCAGTTATCCCAATTACAACACAAGACAGGTAGATGGTAAAAGGGGGGAGAAACGTCCTGATCCCCAGCTTAACAGCAGCAGGTTCACAATCCACCATGAACACATATCTCAACCAAAAAATAAGGAACAATTCTTATATTTCTGGAAAAGATCCAAATAAATGTTCTTGAGACCATATGCTAAACTTATTTCACCATTTCCCTCAAATTTCTCTGTGGTGAATCATTCGAATGAACAACATTCCAGTAAGTTATTTTCTTGAATAGCCTGCTACTCTTGTAAGTACCAAGTGCCATGGTGTTTACTGGGCACCTATTCTGCATCAGGTGCTTTGCATACACCGCTTCATTTGATTGCCAAAACAGCCCTGAAAGGGAGCTATTACAATCTCCACTTTACAGATGAGGAAAGTTGAGAAACAGGTCCCAAGGACATTTAAACTCAACAGCAGAGCTGGGATTTGAATCCAGGGTGGCCTGATTCTAAAGCTCTCTCCCTCTCAATCCCCAAGAAATTTTAATAATTTATCTTCAATCCTCATATATCAAGCTGAACTTTAAAATTCTTAACTTCTAGGTTTTCTCAGGAGTCCTCAGAGAGCTACCATAAATATGAAACATAATGATTATGATTATATAGTATTATAGACAATATCGAAATGTATGTGCAGCCCCAAGCTTCAAATCTAATGACAAAGAATAATTCAGAAAATCAACACATAAGGTCCAATCTTTTGGGATGAAAAGTCTTACATTGATATTTTCTAACTGCAGTAGATGTACTGTATAATATGACTTCACATCTTCTGACAAGAACTTCACACTGAATCCTGTTTCTTTAAATAGCATCTCTCGGTCATCTTTTGTTGGCCAGTACTGTGCACATTTAACCTAAATTTAAGAATATGTATATATTAGTTCATAGACATGATGAAATCATAAAAAGCTGGGAAAGGAAGACAAACCACACACATTCATGCTGTATTTTTTTCAAGTACCCAAATCTATGAACAATTACACTATGTTTGATGCTTAATGTATTTTAAGAAGATTGACATTTTTATAAAAGCAGGTTTGCACAATGTTCCTGTAACTTATACTAAAAAAGCCATAAACAGGTAGGTATGTTCATAAAATAAAAATGAATCTGTCACTTCTAAAGCATGGTAACCTACAGTTTAACATCATATTGGTATTCACTTCACATTTCTAAAAGTATCAACCTCTTGTAAGAATCTTTTTTCAAACAGTATTGAAAAGGCTTTATTTTACAAGTATTTTCTAAAAATATCCATGAATCTGCTACTAAATACTACTTATTCTGAAAATAACATTGTATATTTACTTACTAAAATTAAGTCAGAGAAGCAAATCAGAAGATAAGCTCCCTCTAACTAGAGTTGTTACATTGTGGCAGAACTACTGATATGGAATTCCTATTTGTGACAATAAAAGCATCTCCCCCAAAGCCAAATTATGAGGGCACCAGACTGAGGCAAGGTGAGATAAAGAGCCACTTCATCAGGAAGAATGCACCAGAAAAACAACATTATAAAATAGGGCCACTTCTCCCTGTCCAAATCAGAAATGATTACAAATCACAAACAGTAACAATACCTCCAAACAAATTAATACTATGAGCTGGTACTTCCAAAGGTGCTAAAAGACATTTTAAATATGATACAAGAAGTGAAAAGAGAGTAAATGAGAATGAGAACAACTCAGAAATGATGTGACAGGAGACATTAAAAAAAAAAATTAGGAATCAAAGAACATATCAATTCTGAAATGAAGACTAAATTGAAAGGCAAAGAGGTGTGAATAAATGCTGCAGATATTGTCTCTGGAGAAAAAGATGAGGAAAGGAGGACATTTCTGAAATAAAAAAGAAATGAAGAAAGAGACATAGGATTTGAGAGAAAGTGACAAATATAAAAATAAGCAAAGAAAACCTAACATGCGTAATTGGAGGACCCAAAGAAGAACATCAAAGCAAGCAAACAGAAAATACTTACAAGTATAATCAATACATTTTTCTTTAAAAATCATATACTGAAAGACCACACTACACACTTGGAAAAATCTGAACCAGAATGACCAACCCAAAGACATATTTTGGTAAAATTATTGGAATTTGAAGAAAAAAAAATTACTTTGAGTAACCTAGATAAAAAAAACAAAAACAAAAAAAAACCATGTGACTTATAAAGGAAATAAAATACGATGTTCAATTTACTTTGGCAGTAATTTGCTATTCCAGGAGGAAATGGAGTAATAATGTATTTAAGTTGCTCAAAGAAAAGCAAATGTGAGCCAAGATTTCATATCCTGCCAAAGTGACTTTTAAGCATTAAGACAGCAGATAAACTGTCATTGACAGGTAAGAAATCAGGAACTCTAATGCCCATGAGTCCTTCCTTAGGATCCACTAGAGAATGAGCTATCGACAGGACAACTGGAGAGACATCAACAACACTGGCAATGAATATCAAATATATATTTACACGTAGAACTAAGAGCTTAAAAGGGATATGAAAGAGATTATAGTATGTTATATACTCTGAAAACATAGGTAAAATACAACTTAAAAAACAGAAGAAGATGGAAAAAATTTTAAACTTTTTTAGTAATTACTTTGGTATTGGAGTTGATACCCTAATTATGAGTATTTTTGGTGTGTAATATGGAACAAAGGTAAAGAGTCATTATAAGATATTCTTTATCCGTAGTGTCTTTGAGGAGCAGGATTCATAGTATGGAAAAAGGAGATAACAGATACAAGGTAGAAAGGGTTAAGCCAACCCCTACAGTTCTAAATTTGAATCAGAAGTATCAGTATGAACCCCTGAAGTATGTTATCTAACACACAAACATATTTTTTTCTTAGCTCTCTTCACTGAAAAGCTCTAAAAACAATGACCAGTCCAACATCAAACATCCCTATTTTTACTGCCACCTTGAAATACCATTGCCCATTAAAAGGAAACCAAGGCTCCTTAGAGACATGGTTGACTCTATGAAGAAGAGGTTAACATAAGCTTCAACAAGTAGTCATTCCAGATATTAAGAAAATTATTAAAGACTCTTTGGTTTTGACTCTTAGGTTTCTGACTCAGAGCCCAACTTGAAGAGATTTCTGCCAACCAGTGGAGGGTTAATTAGAATACTAATAAGGATAATACTATTATTATCCTTATTATTATTAAGGATATTAAGGATAATAATATTAGAATACTAATAAGGACAATAACTGCAATGGAGTAAAATGAATCAAGTATGTTTGAATCTATGAGTTCATAATAATTGATCCCCTCCAGTGCCTGCCCCACACCAAAAAAAACCTACCTGGTCACCTGTTGAGGACACTAGGAAATGAACTCTATTTTGAAAACTGCTTTTCCTATATAAAAGTGGTCAACTAACAAGAATGGAAGTTTCTCTTTATAGAAGTATTCCAACAAAAATTCAAGAAGGAATGATAAAATTGAAATACCACTATTTCATAACCCCTAATTAATTAAGGAACTAAGTAAGCCCTGACCAGCAATGACCGCTAACACCATAAAAAGACATTATGGGACTCTTCACAAAGTAATACCACCCATGAAATAATCTTCCCCAAAATAATTAAATTTGAATCTTATTAAGTATCTAGATCCAAGCACTATAAATATGATTTCTAATTTCCATGGGCAGTCTTCTTTTATTAATTAGTAATTATACTCCAAAAAGAGAGATGAGACTTATAAATCATCTAGTTTGCAATGCTGCTCAAACTGTTCAAACAATGTCATCATCACTTAATTTTTGAGTCACACTGAAAACCATGAAAAAGCCACCATAAAAAACTATGCTGACATTGCTGGACATTCTGGTATGTCAGTGCCATTTCAGATTAGAAAGAGAGTAGAATAATTTGTATCACCATTAAAAGCCACCAACTATGAATTTAGAAGAAAGTAAGAATCAGGCATCTGAAGAAGTAGAACAGTCCAAGATCTTAAGGCTGTAAGAGATCTTACAGACAATACTTTCCAATTTGCTTCTTTGACAGAAAAGGAACCTAAAGCTACAAAAGTTAAAGACTTAAATAATTATTAATACTTGTTTAGACTGCACCTAAAGTTTTAATAAATTTATACATTTCCATACTGATACATGTAAATTTACACATCTCATGGCCTAAGAGCCAATTAAAATTTATCAAGATTAAAAAAACCAACCCTGTGACTTTAATCTTTTATAAAATTTTCACGATTTTGGTAATAGTAAATTATAAATTTTTTAAAATTTATTTATTTTGAGAAAGTGTGTGAGCAGGGGAGTGAGGGGCAGAGAGAGAAGGAGAGAGAGAAGGAGAGAGAGAGAGAGAGAGAGAGAGAATATTCCAAGCAGGCTGTGGGGCCTGAACCCACAAACTGTAAGATCATGACCTGAGCTGAAATTAAGAGTCAGATACTTAACTGAATGAGCTACCCAGGAGCCCCAATAAACTATAAAAACTCTAATAAAGCCTAGGGATTCCAAAGATCTATGTATCACTACTGGTCAATATTTGTTTCATGACATTTACATCTTGGAGGGTAGTGGTGTGCAATCGTTACCTAAATGCTTACAGCAAGAAAGGAAAAGGTTATACTAGAGTTCTTCTGGTCAGAAACAGACTGACCTCTAGGCTTCAGCAATTCAAAGCCAAACTAATGAATGAATCAATATCCCAAAACAAATATGAAAACATTTATAAGCTAATGATAACAGGGAGTACGCCAAGTTGTAAATATTAAGTATTACTTACCGATTCCTTCTCCACAACTCGGTTTAGCATGACAACTGCCTTGGTCTTTTGCTGCCAAACCATGAGCCAGAAATGGCAACCTGTATTAGGAAGTGGACCCTGTAAGAACAGGCAAGAAAAAGTAGGTAAGAGAAAGGAGATGGAACAAGGCTCAAAGAAAATTCCTTCAAGTATGTTTCTGGTTTGAAACAGTTTATTGGATCATAGTAAGTAAATCATAACTTTAAATCTACTTGATTTAAAAAATAGGTCTGTACTAGTTGTTTATAAGTGATCAAAACGGACTTTCATTTACTTAGGCAGAAAAGGAATTTTTTAGGCTATCAGATGACTTTCGGTGTTGAGGGCTGGAGAGCCAGGCTTTGGTGGGAACCAACGTCCAGGCAAGACTCTGCTCAAACCAGTCAGCTTGGTACAGTGCTCCTGACACTGGCACTCCTTATCACCTTGCTTTGCTGGCATTGCCATACTAAGGTGGCTGTAGCATTTACGTATAACCTATAAATAAACCAAAGTCAAGATCACAGGCAGGAGTATCTGACTAGTCCAGTTCTAGCTGCAAAGGAAATTTCTGTCCCCTTCAGCTTTCATATTAGGAAAAGAGGCCCTGACTGTCATGGATCATGGCAGTCTTACAAAAGAAGAAATCTATGCCATCACTAGCCAACCAACCACCCCGATTTAACTGGCAAAAGATTTCCAGAAAAAGCAGAAATCTCAAAGTACCTGAACCACTACAAAGCTGCTAATCTACAAAAACCACAGCATGTACAACCTCAATAGCCGACTTAAAAGGGGCAATGGTTCATATTACAATATTGTCATGGGGGAAAAAAATCAAATCATATTATGCACTTCCAATTATCTTCACATTTTGCTTAATGGTAGCATAGGGCAGAAGAAAGGGCAAATAAGAGATGAAAAGGCCACAGCCAAATTGGAACTAATTTTAAAGGTGAAAGTGAATGAGGTTCTACTGCAGCTAATAAGGCAACATGCATCCCTTTCACAGGGCAGAGTGACAGGCAGCATCAGGGGCTGGAGGCCAGGTGTTCTGGAACATCAGCTTCCCATGTCAAACAAGACGACTCAAGTGGTTCAAGGCTGAAAGCATCTTTTAGGCAGTTGTATTCCCTAGTATATAGCAGATGCTCTGAAATATTATTTGAATTAATAAACTCTAAGCTTCTAAATTATAAAAAGGTTGGAAATCTCAGAATACTGAGAAACTACAACCAAATACTGTTGTCCTCAATGTACATTATCTATTACTTGATCTACTTCTAAAACAAAGTGTAAAAATAAAAAAGAGCAATGAGAAAATCCCCAGTAAAATTAATGCCCTTTCTTTCATCTAAATAAATGGATCTATCAATTCACCAGAGAAGTCACTCCTTAGTGTATACACACACAAAAAAACAAAACACACTCCACTCGTGGCTCAAAAGGGAGGGTGGTGGGTTTATTGCTCAGTTTTCCCATCTACAAGCAATACTATCAATTTTTTTAAAGCCTTTTTTTTTTTTTTTAAGTTTATTTATTTGAGAGACAGAGACAGCGTCTGCAGGGCCTGAACTCACAAAACCATGAGATCATGACCTGAGCCAAAACCAAGAGTCAGACACTTAAGAAACTGAGCCACCCAGGTGCCCCAATACTATCAATTTTTTCCTGCAAAATGGAGATTTAAACCAAGGACTGATATATATATATATTTTTTTTAATTGCAAAAACTCAGAGGAAAAAGATGATAAAAATAATAAGCTACAAAGGACAATCAGAACAGCTGAGGTTTTATTAAACATATAGCATCTCTAGTTTTCTCTGTTCTTTAAAATATTCCCAGCCTTCAAAGAGCTTACTAAGTAAAAAGGCAAGAAGTCCTTGTCCTACTAACTGAAAAATATCAAGTGCCATAAGAGTATGGGGTGAACCATCAGATCTTCAGGAGTAGGAAGGATGCTACAGCAGGGCCTTAAAAATGACAAGGGCACTGATACAGGGAGGCGTCATGGAAGGATGGGAAGTAAGGGTGCATTCCAAGCAGAAGGCAAGGCACATGCAAGTTCAGGGCAAATGTGGGAGAGACAAAGCAATCAATGAGGATGAAGTGGAAGTATGGAAGTGTGTACGAAACCAGAGTGAATACAGGAAACAGTCACCAAAGTTTTTAAGAAGTGGTATGATCAGATTTGTATGTTACAAAAATAATTCTGGTGGCATTGTTAAAGATGGATTAGGATGGGAGGGACTGGTGGCAAGGAAACAAGTTAAAAAGCTACTGCATTAGGATTCAGTACATGATGAGGACAGCTTTAGCCCAGGTGAGAAAAACAGGAAGGGAGATGGCTTGATTAAAAAAGAGAGGGGCACCTGGGTGGCTCAGTCAGCTGAGCATCCGACTTCGACTCAGACCACGATCTTGCTGTCTTTGAGTTTGAGCCCCACATCAGGCTCTGTGCTGACAGCTCAGAGCCTGGAGTCTGCTTCAGATTCTATGTCTTCCTCTCTCTCTGCCCCTCCCCAACTCATGCTCTGTCTCTCTCTCTCTCAAAAATAAATAAACTTAAAAAAATATCCAGTAAAGACCTAGAAAATATAGGGTGGAAATTCAGAAAAGAATAAAAAACTGAAAACAGCCTTCTGATTCTGTCAGGACATGCAGAGCAGTCCAACAGGGACAGGATGCTTAAACACGATTAGGAGTGCGTTAATCAGGTATTTTCTTTATTGTTATGGACTTTATAATATTCTATATTTATATAAATGTTTATATTCTAATATTTTAATAAATATATTTATATTCTAATATTTTATAATTATTATCATTATTACTGCTACAAATAAAAAAGTAATAACAAATGCCACAACAAATAATCACTGGAGGGCTTACCATAGTACCAGGCACCATAAGAATTTTGCTCAACATCGTTCCATAGATAATATAGATATATTTATAGATCAATAATATAGATATATATACAAGCTTGGAGAGTTAGGTAGCTTGTCCAAGGTCACACAGCAATTTTATTATGCTAGTAGAGCTGAATGATTAAGAGCTTGACCCATAGTGTCAATGGGGCTTCAAATTCTGGCTTCAGCTCACTTCCCGTATGACTTTGGTAAAGTTGTTTAATGTTCCTGGTCTCTTTAGATGATTCCTCATGCATAAAATCAGGGTGATGACAGTATTTACCAGAGAGAGTTAGCCTGAGCCTTAAATCATACAAAACATAAAGTACAGAACAATGTTACAAAATTCCTAGCTCTTATTAATCTTATCTCCCACTACAATGTAAAGTTCATAATGGCATTTTTACTTAATGTCTATTTTATTTAATGCCTAACACACAGTAGGTACTCAATAAATCTTTGTTAGATGGATGAATACCCAGTGAAGCAGTGGGACCAGGATTTGGGCATAGATACTATGAATCCAGAGTCTACATTCTCTTAAGATACGAAGGTTGAACATATGGTTCCAGAGAGTCTGAAGCCTTGAGTGTAAACTGAAAAGGGGAAAAAACTCCTAAATCAGAATCCTGAGAAACACCTACAGAATTTGGACTACAATAAGAAGAACCAATAAATGAGACTGGGAAAATGGGAGAAAGGGAGAAAGAGAAAGAGAGGGTTGTGATAAGGGATCTAGAGTAATTATTCTTTTCTATTTTTGAACATTATAGCTTTTTCAAATAGAAAATAAGATGAAATTCTAAAAATGAGTTTATCAAAAATGTCATGAATGCGGGGTGTGCCTGGGTGGCTCAGTCGGTTGGGCATCCAACTTCGGCTCCGGTCATGATCTTGTGGTTTGTGAGTTCAAGCCCCACGTTGGGCTCTGTGCTGACAGCTCAGAGCCTGGAGCCTGCTTCAGATTCTGTGTCTCCCCCTCTCTCTGCCCCTCCCCTGCTCACGCTCTGTCTCTCTCTGTCTGTCAATAATAAATGTTAAAAAAAATTAATTAAAAATGTCACGAATGCTCATAAAAAATGCCAAATATTACAAAAGGGCAGGAAATGACAAATTAAACTCTATGTATTCCTAATTCTTAGAAATAACCAGTATTAATGGTATATGTATAATTTATTTAGCCAGTCCCTCACAAATTATTTCTGTCCTATTCTTTCTGGTCCGGTACTATTAAAATTAAGTTTCAATAAACACCCTCACATGTATCTTTATGTCTATACATATGTAACCACTGAGTATTATAAACTTTTAAATCTCTGCTGTTCTGACTAGTGAAAAGTGGTTATTAAATGTATATTCCCTCATGACTAGAAAAATTGAGTATCTTTTCATATGTATATTGTCTACCTTTATATTTTTCTTTGAACTATGAATTTATGTTCTTTCACAGTTTTTTTTTTTTTTTTGTTTTGTTTTTTAACTTAGATTGTTTCTCTGTTTCTTTTTTGACATACAGGAGCATTTTACTTTAAGTAAAATTATTTTCATTTCCTGCCAACTAGAAATAGTCTAATCTTTTTACTATATGAAACTGTTTTCTCTGTTTTGTTTTTAATGTTTATTTACTTTTAGGAGGGGTAAGCAGAGGAGTGACAGAGAGAAAAGATGAGAGAATCCCAAGCAGGCTCTGCACTGTCAGCACAGAGCCCAATGCAGGGCTTGCTCTCATAAACCATGAGATCATGACCTAAGCCGAAATCAAGAGTCAGACACTTAACTGAATGAGCCACCGAGCCACCCATTTTCTCTTTCAATAATAGGTTATTCTGATCTACATTTTTAAAAACCTCAAATATTATGAACATACAGCTTATACTTAAAATTTAAAAATCAGTAACTGGGGGATATAGCAGTACTGTTCACTAAGTCTCTGTCATTTGATAAAGGGAAGCTGGTGTGGATAAACCAAAATAATTTTTATTATCTAAGAATGGAAGAGTAGTAGTGCTAGAATATGGGTGTGGCCAATGTGACAAGAAGCAATCAGGCAGAATGCCAAAGGGAACTGTTACGGTCTCTGGCTTCCTAGCCAGTATTCTGGGCACCTGGTCTTACCACCCTCACTCCAAACAAAGGGCAGATACCCATCAAAGGCATGTTCAAACTCTCTGAAACTGTATGTCAGAGAAGTGGGTCAAGAAGGGCTTTCAAAGGGCCTCTGGTTATGATACAAGTTATGTGAAGAGAACTTAACAAAGCATTAACAAACGCTTTGTATCAATATAAAGCAAGGAAGATAATTTGCCTGAAAAGAATTGGCCTAAACCATTTCATTAAAACATTTTCCTTCTTGGAATGTGCAACATTAAAAATTACTTTCATGTTCACATACAAACCTGCAAAACATTAAAATGTCTACACTCTACTATGTAACAACAGAAAAAACAAACAGCATCTCATTTCCAAAAGAAGTAAAGACATACTTTTAGCTATGTTTCAAAGCATACCAACCACAATAACTGCATTGCCAGGCATCTGCTCGACACCACATCACTTGCCTGTGTTAAGATGTAACTCCTTTTCGCCTCTTCTATGTCAACTAAACTGGCATTAATATAATCATTTTCAGCATTTTGCAGTTTAACACGACTGTGATCATCTGAAATAGAGAATGACAAACCATAATTGTCATTTCAAACTTCTCATTTTTATTGATATTAATGTTCTAGGTATTAATAAAATGATAGAAGAAACAAAGCAAAGAAAAATAACAGCACCACAAAAGAGTTGAATCAAGTCCTAAATTATTCCTTTTTTTGGAAGTATAAAAATGAAATCTTTTTGTTTGTTACTGTGGTATTGGAAATGCTTTTGTTTGTACTTGATTAGCTACTGTAACTAGAAAAACTGACCAAAGAGTAAAATATGGTGAAAGGAATAAAGCACCTACCTTCCTAAAAGTAAAAGGATCATTTAGAGTCTTGGGGTCTAAGAATTGATAGGTCTACCTACAAAAAAAACAAAAATAAAAAAACAACAAAAATACCAAAAAAACCACAACTGGCCTCAAATAGAGGAGACTTGATTTCCATGGTAACTACATTTGTTTCATTCCTCAATAGATCTGCATTCAACTATATTTAAATAATTTTTAGTATTTAACTATATTTAAATTAAGTGCTAAAAATATTTAAATACAGAGAGAATATTCTAATTTTTCTTCAGTAGGCCCCATGCCCAACATGGGGCTCAAACTCATGACCCTGAGATTGAGACACATGCTGTACTGACTGAGCCAGTCAGGCGCTCCAGAATATTCTAATTCTTTACAAGACAACTAAAGACGCCTCATTACTTAGACTGTGTTATAGCACAATAGATAAACATATCTAGTTTAGACATATTTCTAGCTTTTAAAAGTAAAAATTTCACCATCTACAACAACATGGATGACCTAGAGGGTATTACACTAATTGAAATATAAGTCAGGCAAAAAAAAAAAAAAAAAAAAAAGGAAGACTGTATGACATCACTTATACATGGAATCTAAAAAATTAACAAATTAAAAAAAATAGAAACAGACTCATAAATACAGAGAACAGGGGCACACAGGTGGCTCAGCTGGTTGATCATCTGACTCTTGATTTCAGCTCAGGTCATGGGATCGAGCCCTGTGTCGGGCTCCACCCTGCGTATGGAGCCTGCTTAAGATTTTCTCCTTCCCTCTCCCCCTTCTCTCCCTCCCTCTCTAAAAAAAAAAAAAAAAAAAAAAAAAAAAAAAAATAAAAAAA